CGACCTCTGACTAACATATTTGTCAAGGGACTCATGATCGCACACGTTGTATCAGTGAAGCAAGGGTTATCTGCCAACCACCCACGGTGTGAAAATGAGTAAGTCCCAGAGGTTGAGGACATAAGAAATCTGTAATCATAGTGCCACATTGAGCGTGACTAACGTGCAGTAAGCACGCCTGTGTATAAATGAGAATGGAATATTGAAATTATTGTTTTTGTTTGTTGATAAATGATTTGAATAATGTTGGAAATGTGTGGAGGCATGTATGGTGAGTTTCTATGCTTGTGTGTATTTGATAATGTAGATTATTCACCCATACATTTATTTTCAGATGACCAATACGATCAGCACCGAGCTCAGTGAAGGGATGGATGACACTGTTATAGGACTTAAAATATTTATTTTGAAACTAAATTGTATTAAATAAGTCCTATTATAATTATTTGATTCAAATTGTAATCCAGCCTTATTTTAAAATATTTTATTGAACTAGGCATTGGGAACCATTTGAATGAAATATTTTTTTATTCTCATTTTTGTGAAATTTATTTATTTTAGAAATTAAATTTTAAGGTGTTACACATTCAATAGGAAGTGGCTTGTTTGCTTTTCTCCACCTAGACGTAAAAAGATAAAGAAAGGTAGCCAGTAAGAAGCAGAAGGAAGTCTCTCGAGTTGGGTAGTGAAGGGAGTTGAGCCTTTATATAAGATACAACATTTTGTCAGAGGAAGGCACCATTGGTTTTCATCGTGCAACTGAACTCTATAACAGGTAGCGCTCATCAAATGAACGAGCCAGTAATTCAGCTTGTACCAAGGAAGTAGGAGACTTGGAGATGATATCATGTTGTAGTGAAGTAAGTTTGGAAATGCTCTAACATTTTTCACTTTCAGAAACGGTTCCGAAGTTCTAACTGGAGGAAATAACCAAAGAAAAGACTCTTATGCTAATCGTGATTAGTAGGTAGGACGTTGTGCTGTAGCAGCCTGGCAAACATTAAATTGATAAGAAACTTGGCTTTGCCAAGAGATAACAATCTATGACAAGGCAGTGGGAAAGATAGATAGCGAGCGAGTAGGTCAAGATGCAAGAAGACTTCACTAGCAAAGGAATTATAGAGTATACTATAATAATTAGTAAATATTATTATTCTTATTTAAGGTAATCTATTTTGATTTAATTTTATCTCTAATTATGTACTGTTAGAATAATTATAGAAAAAAATTCTTTTGTTAAGTCTAATCAGAAAGCACTTAATCTAAAATATGTTTTAAGATTTAGTAAAAATTATTTGTAATTTTTTATTTAAATTATTTTATTCTATCTCTAATTCAAAGATTTTTTTTATTTTTAGAAAGTTTTCAAAAAAGACATACTAACTATTACTCCACAATTTCGTTAGACAATTATTTTTTATTTTATTGTATCTCTAATTCAAAGATTTTATTATTATTAAAAAAAATTTAAAAATAATTATAGAGAATACTATAATAATTAGTAAATATTATTATTCTTGTTTAAGGTATTCTACTTTATAATAATTTTATTTCTGATTATGTACTATCAGAGTAATTATAGAAAAAATTCTCTTATGTCAAGTCTGATTAAGAAGCATATAATATACAATATAATTTAATATTTAGTTTAAATTATTTTTTTATTTAAATTAATTTATTGTATTTTTAATTAAAAAATTTTATCATTAGAAAATATTCAAGATAAAATACTAAATATTATTCTATAATTTTATTATTTTATAGCAGAATATATGAATATAATCATCAAAGAGATTATAGAGTATAGTATAATAATAATTTTATATTATTATTCTTGTTTCATATAAAATATGATTTAATATTAAGTTTAAATTATTTATTTTTTTTAAATTATTTTATTATATCTTTAATTTAAAAAAAATTATCATTAGAAATTTTTTTAAAAAAATACTAAATATTATTCCATAATTTTTTTGGATAATTTTTTTAGATCTTATCATATTTCTAATTCAAATATTTTTTTATTAGAAAGTTTACAAAAATAACTATAGGGTATAATATAATAATTAGTAAATATTTTTATTAGTTTTGTTTAAAGTACTCTATTTTGATTTAATTTTAATTTTAATTTTATCTTTAATTATGTAATTATAGAAAAATATTGTGCTAAACTTTATTAGAAATCACATAATATAAAATATGATTTAATATTTATTTTAAATTATTTGTTATTTTTTATTTAAATTAATTTATTGTATCCCTAATTTAGAAAATTTTTTATTAGAAAGTTTTAAAAAAGAAATACTAATTATTACTTCACAATTTTATTGGACAATTATTTTTGATTTTATTGTATCTCTAAATTGAAGATCTTTTTATTATTAAATTTTTTTAATTAGTAATTAGAGAAATTAATATAATTAAACTAATTTACTCTTTTATTACTAATAAAATTAAAAATAAAAATTATTGTAAAATTATTATTTTTAAAAACTCTTAAAAAATATCCTTATGATATGTGTACAGAAATGGATTAAGTTTAGTATATTATATAGATATAGATTCTAATAAATATAATTATACAAAAAAAATAAAAAACTATACTTTCAAGTTTTAACATAAAAATGACTTTTTTTTATCACCTCCTGTTTGTTAAAAAATTATACAATTATTTTAATATATTGTTATTGTAAAAGAATTTTTACGATCAATTAATTATATGTGAATAAAATTTTTAATAACGTGTCAATTTATGATTAAATGATAGCATACAAAATTTTTTTTATGTTGTCAATGAATTTTGATTAGAATATACTCTTAAACTCATTTTCTCTTATTTTTTTAATTTATTTTCTCTTTTTCTTTATTTTTTTATATTTTGTTTCTCTCTTTTTTTTAAAAAAAAACCCAAATCACACCCTTTGATTTAAAAAAAATAATTATATTTGTAGCATATTTTGTGGTTTCCTTGATAGCGTAATAATATATTTTAGAATAATGCTAATTATTTATATTTTGAAGGAGAGTCCAGCATGCTTATCATTTTCATCTTTTGGCATTTGGTTACCTAAGCAAGTTTGTTAAGTCTGAAGGTGAGGATGATTGTCAAAATTAGTGTATTATTTTTTTTTCTTTTTATTTATTCATTCATTTTAATGTATTAGACGAAACGTGGTATTATAAGAGCATAAAATTAATTATGCTTGCATTGATTTTTTTTAGTAATGGAATTTTGTCTATTATAAAAAAATCAAAGTCTTCTATTCAAGCACATGATAATGTAGATATAAAACATTGCATACATAAGTAGGAAAGAGTTTTAAAATTTGATTAAGAATTTTTTTTTAAAAATTAGTTTTAAGTGTATGTATGTTACTCTCACAGTTTAAGATTTTTAGGTCCTTCATTAGTATAAACTTTGTTTATTACTTATCTCCCAATTTGATGGGTGAATTAGTAATAACTAGTCAGTGAAATATAAAAATTGAATTATGGTCCTCTGGACACATGAAGCCTGCATTTACAAAAATTAACGTAAATTCATTGTCATGTTTAGTATTTTTTTATGTACCAAAAGGTCTTTCTGTTGAAAATCATATCCTTTCAAGGCGCAAAAAGGTACTGAAATAAATTTTATATATCTTAATAAACTCTTTTTGATACACATAATTAAGAATTAACTTTAATTATATAATTAAAAATTTAATTATCTGTGTTAACTGTGTCAAGTTTTGTTGCTAATGACAACCACGACATTTGAATCTACAATCTTATTCAAACTACCCAAACACTACATTAGTAACTCTATTCTATTATCTTTATAATTTTATCTACTTATATTTATAATTTACATTATTTTATTATTAAATATATAAAAATTATATATATAGAATTGTCAGTAGTGTGACTATTAGTCAATACAATTGTTAATGGTTCACGAACTATTATTATACATCGCAAAATATATATATTTTTATATGATCTATATGTTTTGCCTATATATTAATTAAGCCGGCAGGTCTAATTTAATCTTATTACTAATCAAGCCACACATAAGTACATAAGTAGAGTTTACACTAAAATAAAGTGTTTCTAATCTAAATATTGAGTCAAATCAATTTAATCTTATTACTAGCATCGATCAAGATCGTTTGTTGCTAAACTGTTGGGACTTCATCTGCTATAGTTTACACAGAAATTGTATTCATAAACAAATTTTGTACAAAAAGTGATATAATTTAAAAAAATGAGATACTTATTTTAATATAAGAAAATATTATAAAAATTATCATTTGAAGTTGTTGTCTGAATAACATAATTAAACTTAAAAGTTTGGTGACTATTAATAGAAAATTATGGTTTGGTATTTAATTTTAAATACTTATATATATATATATATATATATATATAAAGTTTTAAATGTTTAAATTAAGTATTTCATCCAAAAATTTTATTTAATAATTAATAAAAGTATAATGAAATGATGGTATTTTATTAATTTATACAAATAAATAAAAAATAAAAAATATATAAAATATAATAAAAATCTTAATTTTTGAGTGAAATATTTAGTTTGAACAATTTAAAAAATTAAATAAACTAAATATAAACAAACTAAAATAAAAAAAATCAAAATTGCACGTATATATTAAAATACAAAAACTAAAATTGTAACTAAGCCAAAAGTAAACTTACAAAGATTATTATGAATATCAACTTGGGAACATCAATTCACAATAATTTATATAACTTGTACTTTTCTTTCTAGTCCACATAGACCAAATCAAAACCAAGTAATGAATCGCAAAGGAAACTACGAGGCACGAGATGCAGAGATATTGGTCAACGCGCTGCGAAAAATTCAAAATTCCAATCTAGGAATTTTCTATCACCCACTTAGTTTGAAATGGCCGAGGTAGCAATGTAAATAGACTTATTATAATTCCACCTCATTCATTCATTATTTAAAGGAAATCCCAGCACCAAAATTACATCAATCATCAGAGTCAATACCTTAACAATATATCTCTGTATTTGCTCTACAGCTCTCTCACAATACTAAACATACTTGACTATTTAGGCATAGTTGAGCTTCAGTTAAGATCAAGGGCCATGCCAACATTATTGTTTCTATTTTTTTATCTCCTTTTGGGGACTTTTCACACAGCTGAAGCTAGAATTAGACATTACAAATGGGATGTAAAGTATGAATTTAGGTCCCCTGATTGCTATAAGAAGCTTGTTATCACCATTAATGGCAAGACTCCAGGACCCACCATCCAGGCACAGGAGGGTGATACTGTTGTCGTTGAAGTTAAAAACAGTTTGGTGACAGAAAACCTTGCCATCCACTGGCATGGGATTAGACAGGTTTGGATGTTCTTGTCCAAAGTATTTTATCTAAATATAAATATTAAGATATATATATTTTATAAGGTTAATTTGGAGTTCTTGTGCTTATTGATTAATCATGTATGTGGCAGATTGGAACTCCTTGGTTTGATGGAACAGAAGGGGTAACTCAATGTCCCATATTACCTGGAGACACATTCCTTTATCAGTTTGTTGTTGACAGGGTTAGTTGTAAAAACTTAAGCGGTATGAAGTTAAGCCAATGAGTGATCAATTGATTACTTTTTATTTGGTGTTGTAATTCTATATTTTGAAAGTTGAAAAAAAAATAAAAATCACAACAATCATTCATGTATTGCTTTTCAACACTAATAAGCTATATTTGTAATCCACTCATGTCATCAATCAAAACAATTGATATCTAATTTGTTTGCATCTTTTTTATATTACAGCCCGGTACATATCTTTACCACGCTCACTATGGAATGCAAAGGGAAGCAGGGTTATATGGAATGATTCGTGTGGCGCCCCGTGATCCTGAACCCTTTGCTTATGACCTTGACCGAAGCATCATTCTCAATGATTGGTATCACCAAAGCACTTATGAACAAGCTGCTGGATTGTCTGCAATTCCCTTTCAATGGGTGGGGGAACCTCAGGTAAATGCTTCAATTTAAAATTTACCATCTACATGTCTTCTCAATTTAGTTTTTGTGACTAAGGTTGGGTATTTCTAGTTTTGAAAATTTTAAAATTCTTTATTTAGCTTGGACTTTATTAAAAGTAACTTATTTTAACTATATTTTATTTTTTACTGTTATTTTGTATTAAAAATGACACATTATAAAGTTAGAAATTAAGAAAGAGTTTACAAAATGTGAAAGGCTTATATAAAATCTCAATAACTATTTGTTGATTTTATTCTTTGTGGGTGTTTGGTTCCCTCAGTCACTTCTGATTCATGGAAAAGGAAGATTCAACTGTTCAACGTCTCCAAGCTCAAATACTGCAATTTGCAACACGTCAAATCCTGAATGCTCTCCCTTTGTACAGACTGTGATCCCAGGCAAAACATACCGACTAAGAATTGCTAGCTTGACTGCTTTGTCAGCACTTAGTTTCCAAATAGAGGTAATCAAACATTCACAATTGTCAAGTCAAATCAGCTTAATCTTTTGTTCATTACTTTTACTACTCTTTGCCTCTTCATAACATGTTTCTAATGAAGCAGGGCCATAACATGACCGTGGTTGAAGCAGATGGTCACTATGTTGAGCCTTTTGAAGTTCAAAATCTCTTCATATATTCTGGTGAGACCTATTCGGTTCTCGTGAAAACTGATCAAGACCCATCAAGGAACTATTGGATCACTTCAAACGTGGTAAGTAGAAATAGAACCACCCCACCTGGGTTGGCCATTTTCAACTACTACCCTAACCATCCAAAACGATCCCCTCCAACGGTTCCACCTTCTCCTCCTGCTTGGGATGATGTAGTGCCAAGGCTGGCTCAAAGCAATGCCATCAAAGCACGCCAAGGTTACATACACAAACCTCCAACAACCTCGGATAGAGTTATAGTGTTCTTGAACACACAAAACAACATAAACGGTTATCGACACTGGTCGGTTAACAATGTCTCTTTCACACTCCCTCATACCCCATATCTTATTGCTCTCAAAGAGAACATAACCGATGCATTCAACCCCACTCCTCCCCCTGATGGCTATGATTTTGCTAATTATGACATTTTTAATGTGTCCAAAAACGTTAATGCCACTTCTAGCAATGGGATTTATAGGCTGAAGTTCAACACAACGGTGGATATTATACTTCAAAATGCTAATACCATGAACGTAAACAACAGCGAGACACATCCGTGGCATCTTCATGGGCATGATTTTTGGGTTCTTGGGTATGGGAAGGGTAAGTTTGATGTGAACAATGAAACTAAAAATTATAATTTGGTGAACCCCATTATGAAAAACACCGTGCCAGTGCACCCATTTGGATGGACTGCTTTGAGGTTTAGGTCGGATAATCCTGGTGTGTGGGCTTTCCATTGCCATATAGAGTCTCACTTCTATATGGGCATGGGAGTGGTTTTCGAAGAAGGAATAGAGAGGGTTGGGAAGTTGCCTTCATCCATTATGGGGTGTGGTGCAACCAAAGGTTTTCATAGGCCCTGATTAATTGAAAGCAATGTGTCCAATTAAGAGAAACATCGTGACATGTATTTTTTTATTTTTTTAAAGAAATATGTGTAAGTATTATGCAAATTGTGCCTTCATTGTTATAGGTTGTAAAATAGTAATTGTACCAGTTCCTGGTTATAGCAGATGAGAAATTATATTTTTTTTAAATGCACAAAATTGACTTTATAATGGTCAACAATGAGATACTAATTAACTTCTTTGGATCCATATGAGTATGCGTACACGGTGGATCCCTTTCGTATTTGTTTGACGGAGAAGCTAATTCCATTCGAGCTTATCTGTCTGTATATAATTTTCAATATGTCTCATTATTTAAATTCTCACATAATTACGATCTTCCCCAGTTCAGACTCCACACAGCGGAAAGCAAGTTTGGTCACAAAAGACGCCTCTCTCTCTCAACGTCAACGCATCACTCATAACCTAACAAATAGTAAACTAGTTTAAGAAAATGTAATTGAAAGGTGGTTTAAACTTTTAAGCATCGATCTAGTACCCTTAAAAGAAGTGATGCATCGTGTGTTTAACCGGTTAGCATATAATAAAAACAAGATAAAATTATTGTTTTTTATTTGAAATAATACAGTCCCATACCCTCTTTTCTTTTAGTTACACGACTTCTTCACGTTTAAAACGATACTTTATATATTTTTTTAAAAAACTTTTATATTAATCATTTTTAATTTTTATTTAAAATTTTTTAAAATAATAAATATGATTTTTGAAATTCATGTAAATTTGAATGTACTTGTACAATATAGTAAATACTTGCTAGTTTACATAGTTTTTTATGTAATTTTTTTTAAAAGAGTTCGTTAAAAAGAACTCTTTAAAATTTAAAATTTTTAAAAAGGTTTTTATTATTACATTAATGATCATTCTAAACTAACATGCTATGCAAATCTTGATACATATTACTTCAGCATTGAATGATATTTGATGATAATTAAAATTAGAATATTTTTTAAAAAGATAAAAATTAGATTTAATTATATCTATAAAAATTAAAAACATATTTTACTGTTTATAAACTATTGGCATTGCAAGAGTTTTTTTTCCTACATGGGGTGAATAGAGAAACAATTTCTTCAAATAGGATGATTGCGATACAAATGCTCTGTCTATGATGAATTAATACAGTATCGTCAACTTTCTAGCCGACACACATTAAATTTTGTTTTTTGTGCATAATGTCGGCTTACGATATAGCAATATTAAATTTTATATAATATAAAAAAAAGTGTTAGCAAAATAACAACTGACACTAATTTAGATTTCTACCACTTGGTATAAGTGTTGGCCGAGAGTAGTTCAACACTTATATGTCGGTTGAATTTTTTGCGACACCTGTGTGTCGGTAGGTTAAATTCTGACATTTACAATGTATTGGTTACTTTGACGCTGACACTTGCCTAGTGCACCATGCGGTAGTCACGCTTTTACCGCGTAGTTAAACAATATTACACTCTTTTTTCTACCAAATTTTACCCAATTTAAAATGTATATATATATAGATGTTCAGGTGTGTATTGGTTGTAAAAAGTTTAGAAGTAGCTAAATTTGTAAGAGGAGTTGAAGGTTAGAATTTTAATTTTTTAATTTTTGCAATTAAGTTTGAAATAATAATATTAATATTATTATGAATTTATGAAATTAAAAATATTTGTGGTGCTATAATAATTTATTTAATGTAAGTACAATATTAAAAATATAAATATAAATCTCTTTTAAATTAATATTCTTGTAATATTTTCTATTAGTATTTGTTTAAGTAGTTAATTTATTTTAATAATATTTTTTTGTATTATTTTAATTTGATATGCATGATGACTGAAATTGTGGTTATTTTATATTGGAATGGAAGAGTGTACGAAGAAAATGAGAATATAATACTTGAAGGGAAGAAGAAGATGATTAAGATAGAACGTGAAATTTTTTTCGGGATGTTGAAAAAAAGATATATACAAAACTGAGATTGTGCAGTAGTAATGTAATTTTTAGACTAATTTCACAAATGTTAGTTGATGCAAGGAGTAAAAATCACACAATTTTAAATGTATGTGATGATGAAGACATTGACTGCATGATAAGTGCATGTCAAGAATGACATCAAAGAAATGTAGTTGAGTTATATGTAGATATTACGGTTGGTGAAACTTCTAATGTTATTGCACAATCATTAGGTTTAAATTTATCTCTGTCACTTGTTAATGTTAATGACAAAGAAGAAGATTATGCAACTGGAAGAGGTAATATATAATATTTATTTAAATTGGATAATGGTTCAAATTTACTAATTTATTAATAACTACGATGATGACTATGAAGATGAAGAAAAAATTCCTTTAGACAATTTTTCTAATAGTGATTTGGATGATAGTTTTGATTCAATGATCAATATTTTAAACATTGAAAGAAATAATGATATGCAAGGACAATTAACAAGTATAATTTTATATAATACATTAATTGTGAATTTTTTTTTACTAACATTGTGTGAGTTTAATACAGATTCTTTAACACCATTTTGGAATATAAGCTTACACTACACTGCTATTAATTGAGAACATCCTGATCAAGAATTGAATTTTTTTAAGTTGCATTCGTCACAACCATGAATACAAAGAGATGCATTATATGTTGGACAATTCTTTGACTCTAGAAAGGAGGTTAAAATGGCGATAAAATATTATGCAATGAGGAAACATCAAACATTTTTTGTAGTTGAATTAAAAGCGACAACTCATGTTGTCAAGTGTGTGAATCATAATTTCGGGTGTCCTTGGAAAGTAAGAGCATTGTTACCCAAAAATATAAATAAGTAGGAAATTAGAAAATGGGGTGATACGCATACATGTGTAAATACCATGACTTCTCAAGACCACAAAAAGTTAGATTCAAATTTTATTTGTTCATACATTCTTAATATGTAAATTAATTGATTTTATTTTTGTTTGTTTTTTTAAAATGATGTTTAAATGATCATTAGTTAAGAAATATTGTTTATTTTTATTGACAAGTATGGTTAAACAAGAACCATTAGTGCCAATTTCATTAATCCAAGAGAGAATAACTAGACAATTTGGATATTCAATTTCATACAAAAAAGCATGGAAAGCAAAATAAAAAGCAATTGTGACAATATTTGGTAATTAAGATGCAACATTGCCAAGATGGTTAGAATACATGCAATTACATGCTCTTGGGTCGATTTACAAAATTGAAACCAATGATTATGTTAGAGGTAATGTAGTAGATAATAGATTCAAAGTCTTTCATTGATTATTTTGGTCATTTAGGCAATATCGTGAAGCCTTCAAGTTCTGTAAGCCTATAATATAGGTAGACAGTACCTTTTTGTATGGTAAGTATAAGCAAACATTGCTAATTGCTACAACTCAAGATGGCAATAACAGTGTGCTTCCTATAGCATTTTCTATTATTGAAAGAGAAACATTATCAGCATAAGAATGGTTCTTAGCAATGATTCGTGTGAATGTTATTGATAAGAATGGAATTTGTTTGATATCTAATCGCCACCAAAGTATTAAAGGTGTTATGTCTAACCTACACATTGAGTGACAACCTCCCAATGCTTACCATATTTATCGTATTCGTCACATTGCAAGTAATTTCAATAGAAGATTAAAAAATACCACCTTGAAGAGTATACTTATCAAGTTAGGTAAGTTTTTTTTATAACATTTGTGTATTTTGATTAATTAATCAATATATACCTATTTTTCACCATTAACCCTATGACTTATTTAAATATAGCATATACACCCTGCAAGCAAAGATTTGAAGCAAAGCTTGATACATTTCGTTTGCATTCTTCCGAAATTCAAACTTGGATTGACAACATATCAAAGGAAAAGTGAAGTTTGGTTTATGATGATGAAGGGCGGTGTTATGGGCACATGACTACTAATTTGTCAAAGTCAGCTAATAGGGTTTTAAAAGAGGCAATAAATCTCCTAATTACTGCCTTTGTCAAAGCAACGTATGCTAGATTGGTTGAGTATTTTGTGAAGCATGGTAAGAGGGCAATGAATGACATGAACAATGGTAAAAGATATTGTAAAGTTATAGAAAAAAAAATCAAGAAGAAGCATTTTCATATCAGGTTCGTGTTATGACATACAAAGAATAAGGTTTGAAGTTGAAGAGGCTTTTAATCCAATGACACAAGAGGGCGGTCAAAAGTAGAGTGTGATATTATCTACACAATTCTGTGAATGTGGTAAATTTCAGGCATACCAATATCCATGTTTACATGTCATAGCTGTTTGTGCTACTTTGAGTATAGACTTTTGATAATATGTTGACCATGTTTATACTTTGTAGTATGTTCTAAACGCATACTTATCTCAGTGGTGGCCACTTAAAAATGAAAATAACATTTTACAAAATTCTGAGTAAAAGTTGTTGCCAGATCAAGATAGAGCACGAGATAAAGGATGACCAAAGGCTTCTGGAATTAGAAATAAAGTGAATTGAGTTGAGTCACAATTGCGACAACGATGTAGGTTATATCGACAATTGAGTCACAATCAACGTCATTGTCCTCAACAAAGCAATGATAATAATACTGAAGAGTAACATTGTCATCGATTGGTAAATAACGAAATGTGGAATAACATAGTCTTTATGTTTCATTTATCATTGTAAACTTATGCTAGATTAATTAAAAGTATGTTGTCTTATTAGTTTGCATTGATGTTATGTCACTTAATTAAGAAATGAAAGAAACATGAGGAATGTGCAAAAATATAAATCATTTGTGCATCTAAACCAAATAAACTATTAACTAACATCAGTGGTATGTTATAACAACCAACAACAACAAAAAAAAACTAATCACCCAAGTAGTCAAAATCACGATGTTCTCTAATACAATATGATAACATATCTTCAATCAAAATACAAGGACTAGTCATGAGGTCCCTCCTCATGAGGTGTGAGAATACACTGTCGACGATGATCTCGCGCTCTACGGTAAGGGTTACGTCTCACATCAAGTCCTGCTACATCTGAGGCTCCAATGAATTCGTCATTAAGATCAATTCCACGCTCGTTCCTTGGTAGCAATGATGTTGTTTGCCCACCTTGTTCACTTTCATGAGTTCCTACATCGGGTGCATTCGGTGTAAAGAACATAGGCTCATACGGAAGAGGTGTCATAAAAAGGGTAGCATCAGAAAC